GGACACAAACTGGCACTGATATGGGATACTGTGCTTGAAAATGGAGGAACAGCCTGTTGAATCACAGCACCAGTCCGTGAATTGATTTTTGTATAGAATATAAGGCAGAGATCTTGTATCAGACTTCTGAGAGTGCAAATCCAATTTTCCAAAACTATTTTTTAAAAGGAGTTTGTCTTTTCCTTAGTGGATGACTTAGGCTTACCAAGTTCAGTTCTTTATGGATATGTGGTTGGTCTACCATGCCTATTTTTGTGCCAGTACCAGGTCATTCTGACTATAACTGCTTTCTAATGTGTCTTGGGATCTGGTATTGTGATGTATCTAGTTTTGTTTTCATTGTTTAGGATTGCTTTGGTTACCTGAGATCTTTTTATGTTCATAGGAATTTTAGGATTTTTTTTTTCAGTCTCATGAAAAATGTCCTCACATTATGACTGGGATCACAAAGAAATTTGTAAATTTCATTTGGGTAAATCTATAAATTATTTTGGGTAGTACAGACATTTTGATATTAAATTCCAGTCCAAAAACAGGATTTTTTTCTATCTTTTGAGTCTTTTTCTACTTTTTAAATTAAGATTTTATAATTTCATTGTATTTCACATCCTTGGTTAAATTTATACAAGCATGTTTAAAATTTTCATAGTTGCTGTGAATAAGATTTGTAACTTTTTTCACACCAGAATGTTGCTGGTCTACAAGAATGGTTGATTTTTTCTGGAATTTATAACCTGGAAATTTAATGAATTCTTTTATATGTTCTAATAGTCTCATAATAGTCTTGATTTCTCTATCTAAAGCATTATGTCATCTGCAAACAGATCATTTTACTTCCTCCTTTTCAGTTATATTCTTTTGGTTTCTTTTTCTTGCTTAATGCTCTAGAATGTCCTAAACTATGTGGATTAATAACATTGAGCATGGGCATCCTTAATTGGTTCCATCCTAGTCAAAGTGCTTCCAGTTTTTCCCTTGTAAATATGATGTTGACATTGGCTTTTTTACATATTGCCTTTAATGTATTGCAGTATGCTTCTATCCATCTTAAGTTTTTTTTTCTAAATGATGAAAGATGCTTTTATGAGATGCTTTCTCTGTCTTTGGGATAAATATAGTTTCTAGCCTTCGTTTTTTTGTTGTTGTTGTTTGTTTTTTAATGTGTTCTGCCAGGTTTACTGGCTTTTGTTGTTTTTCAATTCCTGCATCTCTGGGATAAATCCTACTTGTTCAGAGTGAATAATTTTTTATGTGTTGATGAATTGAATTTACTAGTATTTTTTTGAGAATTTTTTAAAGATTTGTTTGTTTTTCATTGGAAAGGAAGATTTACAGAGATAAAGAGGAAGTTCTTCCATCTGTTGGTTCACTTTTCAAATGGCCACAGTGGCTGGGGCTAAGTTAATCTGAAACCAGTATCTAGGAGCTTCTTCTGGGTCTCTAGGCTTTGGGCCATCCTCTACTGCTTTCCCAGGCCATAAGCAGGGAGCTGGATGGGAAGTTAATTAATAAAAAAAAAAAAGCTATATAAAAAGAAAATTGTAAGACACCGATAAAAGAAATCATCAAGCACACTGCAAAAATGAGAAAATGAGAAAATATTCCTTGCTCGTGGAAGTTTTGGTATCGTTAATAGATTCAGTGAAATCCTTATGAAATATTAATGACATTCTTTATACAATTGGAAAAACAGTCCTAAAATTCATATGAATAACCAAAGACCCAAAATAGCCAAAGCAATCCTCAACAAAAAGAAATAAACTTGAGGACATCACAATGCCTGAATTCAAAGCATACTATAAACCTCGTTATTAAAATAGCCTGATTATATCATTGGAATAGAACGGAGAGTCCAGGAATTATTCCAGGTATATAGAACCACATGATTTTTGACAGAAGTACTCAGACAGTGTACTGAAGAAAGGAAAATCTCAATAAATGGTGCTGGCAAAACTGGATGTTCATATATAGAAGAATGAAATTAGATTACTACCTTGTACCATATATATGAATCAATTCAAGATGGATCAAAGATCCATATTTAAGACATAAGGCTCAGAAGCTGGTAGAAGAAAACATAGGGAAAAAATTTAAGACATTTGTATAAGTGATTACTTTTTGGATAAGATTGCCAAATTATAAGCAATAAAAGCAAAACTAGTCAAATTGGGTTATAATAAAAGCTTCTGCACATCAAAAAAGTCAGAAAGAGTTGTATAAAAATTTCTCTTTTTAAAATTTTAATTGATGTTTATAAAGTCAATCAAGATGAGAAAGATCTAAGGTCATGGAGCAGTGGATGTGATCATTGTTTCCAAGCTTTCTATTTCTTCTTCCCATTTCTGGGGGGTGGGAGAATACAAGGGGATAGGCCATACCCAGCCTCCCAACCATCCCAGTACCCAAGGATGGAGAAGTGAGCAGCCAATATCAACCCGGGGTCACACAGATGCATGTTCGGAGGATTCTGTCCAGGTTGATGTGATAATTTTGAAATCTATTGACTTTGCCAATCTATGGATGAGGAATCGCTTCCAATGTGCATTGGCTGACACCATCAACTTCATAGTCTCTAATCACCCAGATAGTTGCTGTCATCATTTGTCTGGGGTAGTTATCCATATGTTCTGTTCTCCATTCTCTTCTATGGTACTAGACATCCTCTGAAGCCCCAATGAGCTACCAGGTCCTCCATGTGCACCATTATCTACTGTCCAGCACCCCAACCTTTACATGGGGCTGTCCCTACCAAGATGGCGGTGGTAGGCAGAGCCAGGTTCCTGTGTCTTCCCAGATATATTCACAATGTAATTACTGTGGGAGGCGGTGTTTCTTAGGCCTAGGGACAAGCTCAGGATATGCTCACTGCCTGGCAGCAGTGGCTGGAGCTGGGTTCCTAAGCATTGAGCCTGGCTAAAACTGGGTCCTCTAGCAACCACCATGTGGCTAGGAGAGTTGAGCACCTGTTCCTCCAGTGTCAGACTCACCTAGGCTACTCCCACCAAGATGAATCAGGAAGAGTTTGAAGATAATTCAGGAGAACATGTGAAAGATGTTTCTAAGCTACCTAAGAATTAAGATCCAAAAAATACATCAGTAATTCCAAAAGCTGAACAGAGGGAACCAGTCAAGAAATGAGCAAGGTACCTCAATGAACAGTTCTTAAAAGAAGATATACAAATGGCCAATAAAAATATGAAACAATACTCAAAAGTATTAGTAACTGGGGAGATGAAAATCACAATCACAATGAATTTTCACTGTACTTTTGTCATAATGGCTATTATTTAAAAGCAGAGGATGAAGTTCTTTCCTATTCATGTCTATTTGAGGTATTTCCCATTTTCTGTATTTTGATGCCAGTCTTTCTCCAAATTGGCAAATTTCTGATATTATTTCATTGAATATATTTTCTAATCTATTCTTTTTTGTTTCTTTGGGAACTTTTATGGTTCATCTATTCGGCTGCTTGATGTCATTTTATTATTCCCCATTATTCCTTAGAGAACTCAAAATAGAACTACTAATTACCCAACCATTACTGTCTTAAGAATTCACCCGGAAGAAATGATATCAGTATACAAGAGAGTTATTTGTTTTTTAATATTTATTATTTCAATGTTTTTTTGGAAAAGAAGATATACAGAGAGAAGGAGAGACAAAGAAAAAGATCTTTTGTCTACTGGTTCACTTCCCCAAGTGGCCATGATGACTGCAGCTTAGCTAATCCAAAGTCAGGAGCTGGAAACTTCTTCTTGGTCTCCCACATGGGTGCAGGGTCCCAAGGCTTTGGGCTATTTTATACTGCTGCTCTAGGACAAAGCAGGGAGCTGGATGAGAAGTGGAGCAGCAGAGATACAAAATGGCACCCATCTGGGATCCCGCCAGGTACAAAGTAAGGATTTAGTCACTGACTCATTGTGCCAGGTCCCACAATAAACCCACATTTATTACAGCTCAATTCACCATGCTATGATATGGAATCAACCTAGATGCCCATCAGTGGATGACTGGATAAAGAAAATGTGTCATATACACAATACCAGATACTATTCAGCCACAAAATAATAATGAAACCCCATGCAATCAGAAAGTATTGTGCTCAGTGAAATGTCTGGCAGGTAATATAGAACATACAAAAATGTGTAGCAATGAAGTGGTCACTTTGAGATAGGACGGTCACTTTAATCCTATGTTTATCCTGCAGTCAGTGGGAATGTGGTTTTATGATCTTTTTAGTTTTTACTTTTTGAATATCATGATTAGAGGTAAATTAAGCCTGTGAATATGCAGGAGACTAAAATTATGACTCCAGAAGCTCTATTGAATATAGAGAAGGTAGAGAAGAGTGTGAGGGGAAGTCAGGGAATGGGGGATGTGTGGTTCTCTTCCTGAACTGGATATATGAAATGCATGCAATCTGTTTTCTTTATATTAATAAAAGTTTAAAATGTAAAAAGAACACTCATGTATGTAAAGTTACTATACTCAATGTATTCAAGGAGATGCAAAGGACATAAATCACAATTTAACATAGGAATAGGAAGATTTAATAGAAATGGAAGGTCTATTACTGAAAAATAAAGCAATTATACTCCTATGGTAGATCTACCATTAGATTAGACATAGTTGAAAAGGAAATTAGTAAACTCTAAAAGACAAACTAGTAAACTCTAAAAGACAAACTAGTAAACTCTAAAAGATAAGAAAATATCCAAAATAAAAAACAAGGAGACAAGGGACAGATAATATAAAATAAAAAATTATATATGACAACATCCTTATTGTTTACTAATAATGCCAAAATTAAAAATGCAAGTTTGACATTGAAAAGAAATAACCAGTTAAAGTTTAAATCATGATTTGTCTTCTCTCATGTTTGATTTAATTCAGGTAAGGAGTTTTTCTCACTTTTAAAACTTCATCTGAGAAATTAAAAACATCTAAAATATCAAATGTTAGCTGAATAATCTAAATCAGAAAAAAGTTTAACTACTTACATTCCATATGCTGAACTTACAGCAAGACTAGTAATTTGTTGAGGAGGTTCGCCATCTACCCACACCAACTGAATAACAAGGTCGGCTTGATACCCTGGAGGCATTCGCACTGGTCTGGTCTTCACGCTAACAGAAAGAGAAAATTCTATCACATACAGCTTAATAAACATGTTTATGCTTACTTTGCTAATTTACATTCTACATAAATATACAACACCAGGCATTGCAGACAGCACACAGGAGGTAGGTGACCTGCAGTTTTCTCAAAATACACCAAACTTCATTTGAATGCTTTATTATTTCTTTAGTTTTGTAATTCCCCAAATTCAATTGGCCTACACAATTTCCTTTAAATTTTTAAGATAGTATTTATATTATTTTACAATGCAATACTTGCATTTATTACAAATGAGAACAGATTTTTTGCAAACAGGTGACACCCTGTATCCAACCACTTGTGCAGAGAATTAAGAAAGGGCTATGCTTCCACAGGTGCCGCAACAGAAATTTTCTGAAAATAAAACATTCATGGGACAAGACCATGGAACTTGGAAATGCTATATGCAGTCAGCCATGTAAGGTAGCCAGCACGAGAAGCAGCTTACCACCATCTCAAGTAAGAGTCACTGTGCCACACATCACAGACCTTAGCAGATTCAGAGAAAGTGGCTGGGGCACAAGTGCAGGCAGAGTAACCCGAGGTACTGCTTAGTGTATAATCTCATAGGCCACACTGACTCTAAGTACAGTTAGATCCCAGAGGTAATGATTCACCAAGCAAAAGGAATATGCTCCTTTTCCCCATCCTGCTACAGGGCAGCAAGAGGTCCTGCGGCTTCAGCAGCAATGGCCAGGTTATTCTGCACCAACATGTGATTAGGTCACTATGTCAAAATGGTAAATTCATATTCATTGGTGAATTTTGAGTTGGGGCAGGAAGCATGGTGGGGAGGCATGTATACCTCCTCCCACACATACCCTACAGTGAGCCCTGAGGGGAGATATGGCAGCGTGATCTACTCAGGTGGAGGACCCAGAGGTAAATGCCACTGTTCTCTTCAAAGCAACAGACTTGTGTGGCTGAGGGGAGCTTCAATTATTCAATACCATGTCAATTAATTTCATAATGTTGTAAATTGCTGTTGATGTTATGTTGGGGCTTTTAATTAATCAGCTCTACCTTCAGACCAGAGATGGTCCCCCCCAAGAAACTGTTGAATTTATCTGGACAATAAGATGCTGGACTCTATGCTTGGTATTTGTTTGCAAAGAAAGAATCTTGACTGAATTTGTACTGTAATACTGCAACAAGGTGGAGGAATCCACCTTGGGGAGGGGTTGGGGGGATCCCAGAGCCTATGAAACTGTGTCACATAATACAATGTAATGAATAATAATAATAATAATAATAATAAACCTGTGAAGCCACCATGGGCAAACCTCAGGCACCAATCATCTGGAATGAGAGGAACTGAGGAAATGATTTCACTAATAGTCATGATCATTAACTCCCCTGTGTTGACAAAAGCAGAAATCTACCATGCTCAACCTGGGTGTCACCCTGGAATTTTATCCCATACTTGATCACAGACCACAACGTGCTGCCTAAACCTGGTACATATCTCCAGATACTGAAGGAGCAGTCATTCCACCAAGCCAAAAAGGCATAATTCAAAGATAAGAACTATCAGAGGACTAAAACAAGTACTAATAGAAATGATTATAGACACACATGAGAAACATGAACAAGGGAGGGAAGGTGACTCCCATGAAGGAACACACCAACCCTCTAATATTAGGCCACAAAGATGAATAGATTGAAGAAAATGAGTTAAAATCAATTATAAGATTATTCAAAACAAGCAGTAGCAAAGGCAGGAATTAAGAAAATCCATGCATGGCATCAATGAGACTGAGGATAAAACAACTAAAATATTAGAAGTGAAGATTTCAATACGACAAATTAAAAAAAATACAGTGGAGAGTGTTAGCAACAGACTCTATGAGGCAGAATAGACCCTCTGAACTAGAGTAACAAAGGGGAGAAAGAAAAACCAAAAATAGTATCCTAGATGAGTCTTATGAGTTCCTGAGTACATAAAAAGAATGGATTAGAAGGCACATTCAGTGAAAGAATAACAGAACCTCCATTATACAGAGAAAGAAAGGGATATCCAAGTAAAAGAAGCACAGTGCTCTAAATGGCATGATTAGATCTATACTATGACATATTAGAGTCAAACATTCTACAGTTAAACGTAAGAAAAGTTTCCAAATGTTCATGAGAGAAATGACAGATTAATCTGAGAGGATCTTCAATTAGACTTAGATCTGATTTCTCATCAGAAACCCTATGGGAGAGAAGAGAATAGAGACATAGTTCAGATCCTAAAAGAAACTGCCAACCCAGAATATTATACTCTGCAAAGCTCTCTTTTGTGCCCCAAGATACAAAGATTAAACAAGAAAATTGAAAGGTTTGCCATCATCTCTCCAGTCCTACAAATGATGCTTATGCATATGCTACACACAAAAATAGAGAATTACAATCAATATAATGAAAGAATGTGACGTTGGAAAATTTACTAAAAGCACAAAGAAAACCCAAAGTAAAAAATGTGAGTATTTGTAAAACATTTTTTACCTTTCAACAATAATCCTGAATGCAAATGACCTAAATTATTCATCAAAAGAGACAGACTGGCTGAATGGGTTAAAAACAAGACCCAATGATTTTTTGCCTCAAAGAAACACACTTCACCAACAAACACAAAAACTGAAGGTGAAATGATGGAAAAAGATATCACATGCCCTTCCCATGGAAAGGAAAAATGAGCATGTAGCCATTCTAGTTTCAGACAAAAGAGTCTTCAATAAAAAAAAAATTCTTAAAAGAGATGAATACGGGCATTACATAATGATTAAGGGATCAATTCTACAAGAAGTAACTGCAATAAATGTATATGCAACTGTCAGGGCATCTGGCAGTTTACATCATTAATAGTTCTAAAGGCAAACGAGACTTCAATACACTACCAATTTCAACAACCCACTTTCATCAATACATTAAATAAAATACCAATAAGCAACAGGTCTATGGACCTAATTGATATCTACAGACCATTACATTTCACAGATGCAGAACACATCTTTTCATCAGTGCATGGAGGCTAGTCTATGGATAAAGTCAACATGTTAGGCCATAAGTCAAGCTCAGCAAATTTAAAGGAATTGAAATCATATCTTCTTTTCTACCACCATGGAACGAAGCTGGAAATCAGTTCACGAAATCAAACATATGCAAGCTTAACTACTGACTGATCATAGAACAAATCTAAACAGAATTCAAAAATTAATGGAATCAAATGAGATGACAGCACAATACTTCAAAACTTACAGAATACAGAAAAAAGCATGTTAGGAGGAAAGTTCAGGGCCTGGCACAATGGCTCAATTGGCTAATCCCCCAAGTAAGTGCCAGGATCCCATATGGGTACTGGTTCATATACTGGCTACTTCACTTCCAATCCAGCTCCGTGTTGGGCCTTTGAAAGCAGCAGAGGATGGCCTAAAGCTTTCTGTATCTGCATGGGAGACCCGGAGGGAATTCCTGGCTCCTTGCTTTGAATTGACTCAGCTCCGGCAATTGTGGCCATTTTTAAGTAAACCAGAGAATGTAAGATCTTTCTGTCTCTGCTTTCTGTACGACTGCTTTTCTAATAAAAATAAATATTTTTATAAATGAGGAAAATTAATAGTAACTAGTGCCTGTGGCAATAAACGAGAAAGGCATCAAATAAGAGAGCTATCAGAGAAGCTCAAGGACCTAGGAAAACAACAAATCAAACACAAAGCTGGTAGAAAGAAATAAATTAAAGAATAAATATAATTGAAACTAAAGATATATATAAAATTATTTGTTACCTTATGAACTGGTGAGCTGTTTTGAAAAAAAAAATAACGAATTCACTATAGCCCTACTAACCAAAAAAATATGGCTAATAAAATCATAGATGAAAAGGGATATCCAAAGAATCATCAATCTCAATTATTCTTAGTGTATCTGTGTGTGTGTGTGTGTAAAATGTAAAATAAATAGACGGCAAACTTTCTCGTCTTTTTAATTTCAAAAAGGCTGAAGAAATATCATTTTATACATTATATATATATAGTTTTCAAATGGGAAGTAACAAACACAAGGCCAAATTTCTGCTCTGAACTTCCCATTCAAAAAGAATATTTCCTTCAGTTTCCTTTAGAATTGAAGGGGTAAAGAAGTAATTGAAGGAAGAAAACACTATATCTTCATCACAGATTTCAAAGAAAGACCAACCGTATCTGACAATGCATTGTAGAGTATTTGATAACAACCTCATAAGAAAGAAGAGTGATATTATATTTAATGGTTCCAAATATGATAAACCTTTAAAATTTGGTAGTTGGGATGGCCTTGTAGAACAATGAGTTAAGTCCCCCCCCACCTGAATCAGAGGAATGCTGGTTTTTTACCTGGCTGTTATCAATTCTATCCAGGTCCCTTATAATGTGCACAGCACTTGGGACCTTGCTACTTACGTAAGAGACTCAGATGGAATTCTGGGCTCCTGCTGGCAACCTGGCCCTAGATGGAAAACTGTGTCTCTCTCTGTAATTATGCCTTTCAAATAAAAAAAAAAAATCCTTAAAATTTGCTCTTACTTGAGGCATGGAATACTGTCCTTTGTTACTCCTTCACTAGCCACAGTGTTGGTGCTCCCGGAAAGACTCCTTGAAGATGGAAGCTGGGATGAGAGATCTGGAAATGGAGGACTTGTTTCTGGTTCGGGAGTGATAATATCTTCAACATCATACTGAAGTCGTACTTCTAATGACTTTAAAAAAATCAAGTGTTAGTCTAAATCACAATAATAATCACAGTAATAGATCTGATAACTTTTAAGAAATCATTCATTTGTTTTCAGTTTAATAAGCTCAATTTTCCATGCTGAATTAAGTAGCAAGCTACTTGGGATATTCAATGTAAATCATTTAAAAGTGTAATTTTTTCATTGCTTAGAAGTTAGCAAATTGCTTAGAATATTGAATGATAAATCAGAAAAATGTATTTTCTTCATTTGAAAAAGTGATAAGAAAAATACCTAATAGTGGAGTTAAAACTAATATTATAATAAATATTTTCTATTTATCAGAAAAAATGTGCACTTTTGAGACTGAAATCGCTTATAAAAATTCTATTATATGGTAGTAAATATAGCAATACTACCAAAATGATAGATTTTTATCATACTCAGAATCTGCTACTAATGAGCATCCCTATAACTTGTACAGAGATATTTACTTTAAGGTCAGAATTAAAATCTAGTTTTATCTGACTTCAAATCCTGGACTTCTAATTAATTATTATAGAAGAGTAACATTTTTTAATCTATTTAGGTACTGGTTAGAAAAGGATAGATAGGTACTGGACAGAAAACAAAAATTGTCTATAGGCACATTAACTGGGAATTAGCTTACTGCACAGGGCGTTAAGATTTTCAATCTTTAGACTATTCACTGATGTAAAATAAACACTAGGTAAAATTAAGATTAGTGATTACTTTTAGCTTATCAAAAATACTACGTATGGATAATCTTAAAAATGAATTTACTACAGTTGAGAAATAATAATTTACAAAAACTACTCGACAATAGAACTAAGATGAATTTTAAAATATAGAACAAATTCTATATTAATTTGACCTAACTATAAGTTAATAACTTTATAAGCAAACTGTACATTTTGTAGCTATACTTATTTACAAAAACCTCATATTGAACACAAAATATATTCAATTTTTAATTTATTGCTATAAAAGTTTATAAAATGAATGCTAACGTTCTATTATTAACAAACAAAATAAATTTATTCATTTTGGTGAGGTAAATGCCACATCAAAGTGATACAGTTTTTGTTTAAAATCATGGACAAAAATACAACATAATGAATTTCCAACAATTTATAATAAATAATAAATAAATAAATAATACAAAATGTTAAGGTCATTTTCATACTGAAAGCAAGTACCAACTTCTGATAGAGAATTATTTTTACCATTTTAAGTCAAGTCATTTTAACAGTAATAATAACAGTTAAATATCATATGAATTGTATTATGGCCAAATAATGCCCACTTGATGGCTTAAATGGTAGATTGAAAAGTAACCAATATGTATGGCAACTACTTTTTTGGTTAGGTCGAAGTATGAATGTTAAACTTAAATAACTTACCACTATTTCTGTTGTAATTTCATGTCTGCTGAATTTATAAATTATGACATATGCAGAGACTCCTGATACACAGAATATTCTGCTCTCTGGACACCAGTAAATCATCTGCACGGCAAAAGGGTCCTCCTCCACAATTTCTCCTGTTTGTTTTCCTTCTCCTACCTTCTGCTTTTCAAAAACTTTTGAAGTTTTTAGTTTGTACAGCATTTGTAGAGTTACTGGAAGATAAGCATAGTTAGTTTCTAATGTACTTTTTAAGTGCTAAAGACTTTCCAATATATTTTATTGAAATGCAAAAGCGAAAAAGCAAAATCCAAACAGACAAAATTAATTACATTTTAACTAGTAAGCATTCAGTGCTCCATGACTATAGTACCTGGAGGGAGGGTACAGAGGGAAAAAAAAGCATTTTTTAAAAACATGAATGATTTCCCAAAGATTTATGTAGATAGTTCCTCATATGATGTTACTTAAATAGCTATGACACATGAAAGTTTACAAAGGCAACATTACATGTAATTTTCTTAAGGGAGATCCCTCTATCCTTACATGAGAAGTCATTACAGAGGAAATGTAATCCATGGAAAGCTTATTCCTTTATATAGACTTTATATTCCTTCTGTTAAGAGCTGAAATTCACCAGCTAGCCTTATTTGAAATGCAAAGATCTATAATTATTGCAGAAACCAAGTTTTCGGAGTGGCTTTATGTCAACAAAGGGTCAGTTACAAAACCAACCATGACATGTTGGATCTGTGTAACATTTTCAAGAATTTAAAATCTGAGAACATGATATTGCTCATTCCCCAATTAAAACAAAAACTTTTCTTATTCTACAAAGGATCTTTGAGAAAAGATTTGAAAATCAGGACTTCCTGCCAGAGTGCTCAATATGAATTTAATCGTTAAATATAGTAATCAAACTCTTACTGAAGGGATTATGACATGTGAAGGAGCATATCACACCACTAATCCCCCACCTTCCAAAATAAAAACGAGCCTGGACTCCTAACATTTTTAAATGCCATGAAATAAAGACTGTTCCAGATTTTACAGAATGCTGGACAAGCTGACTAAATCTTACAAATGACCTGAATTTTCTTTTGTTGTAAAGGATAATATGGAAACTGATGAAATTTGGTTAATAGATAACAGTGTTTCATCAATGTTAATCTGGTTTTGACCACAATTCTTAGGTGATGCAAGGGAATTGTTTTGTTCATAGAAAATGTATACTGAATTACATTTGGTATATGTGGTACTCCAGTTGCATTGTCTTACTTAAAATGGTTACCAAAATGCTTTTGTTTTTATGTGTATATATTTATGTACATCTGTGAGAAAAAGAATATAAATAAAAGAGAAGGGACAAAGGATATGGATGGGAACAAATGTATGTGCTTGAAGTATTAAGCCATCTTTAATTCCAACATTTTAAGAAAATGAAGTCTTTCAAAAATCACGAGTCTGAAGTACCCTCAGCATCAGGTTAATCTGCAGTCCCAGAAAACAGCATGAATACAGCTTTGTGAGATCCTTAGCAAAGGTTTTAGCTAAAGACAATCTATGACAGGTATAATCTCTCTCCTACGCAAGCTAGGAAATAATGAGTGTTATTTCAAGCTGTTAAACTGTGACAATTTATTACTCAGCAACAGAAAGTTGATATACATAATGAAAGCTCAATTATTAAAATTCACCTCAGTTCCTATTCTAGGTAACTTCACAAAATTAACAAGATAAATGACAATTCAGGCACATTCATTATGTTGAAAATATGCTTTTATACTTTATGGCTATAAAACATTAATGTGCAAATTTTGTAATTTATATTCTGAATGTGACAGAAGTTTTGATTTAAAAACTTCTGGAAATGCTATTGTACATACTTGGGAATTTTATGCACTCCAAAAATTAAGAATGTTTAGGCATCCTTTTCCCATTTTAGAAACCAAGAAGTAACTCTGAGGAAGTGAGAAAGGAACAATGACTTCATTATGCAGTTAATTTTGTACCAGGAAAAAAAATTCAGATTTGATGAAATTTCACTAGAAGAGAGCTGCTGTCCATTTGAATTGAATCTTACTACTCCTTCCTTACTGCGTGCCTCATAAACCATGAATTGAAATCTTTCAGTCTTTTTCTCTTGCTGATTGTGTATTTGCCTAGCTGCTGAGAGCAATCTCTACTGGGTGATGAGTATCATCAATAGTGAAGTTTCTTGCTCTGCTTCTCTAGTATTACTTTCCTGTGATGCATTCTCATCTATGGTATTTCATTAAAACACCTTCCTTTGATTTACTTTATCCAAATAAATAGATCTCAGTTCTGGTAACAGAATTTTGTTGTACTACATTTGGATTGTCATATTGTCTGTCCCGTAGTTAACTATTTCGTTGTCTTTTCTAGTGACTATAAGTTTTCCTAAGCATATATACATGTATAATGAAGTCTTATAACTTTTTGTACATCTTTTAACAAAGACCAGAACACTATTTTTTTCTTTTAAGTAATTCTCAATACTTCAAAAATAATTTCCACATTTATCTAGTCACTAGCTCGTACCTTCATAAGACTGGGAGGGTACGCAGAGAAGTAAAGGATCCAAGGACCAGAAGGTTCAAACCATTTATCCAACAGAACAATGCTATGAGATAAACTGTTTAAGGGAAACCCCGTCTGTACTTTGCCAACATAATGTCTACTGTAGATAAAATGTGTTGCTGAAAAATACTTAGTCCTAATAGTTGTACATTAAAAAGAAAAGTACAGCAGAGATGAAACTGCAGATTGTATAAATTACATGCATACACATATGTCTGCTACATCCAATTCCAAACTGAAAACTAGTGAATGGCTATGAGCAAATATTAACTAACCGCTCTCAGCTATACAGGGAGAAATTCAAAACTTACTTGCAGAAGCATCCCAAAATTTTATTGATCCATCTGCATGACTAGATAAAAAATAAATTAGTATTAGCTGAGGCTTAATAAAAATGAGAATCATAAAAATTTCACATGTACAGAAACTTGAGCTGCTGTTAAAATTTTGCTCCAAAAACACAACTATAATGAAAATTAATGTATGGTAAGCCATTTCTAAGTTCAAAATAATGGTTTATTCTTAAATTACACACTAAAATCTAAAGATTCAAAAAAGAATAATTCCTTATATCTTTTTAATACTTTACATGTAGTAGAGTGTAATAAAAAATAACATGTTAAAATTGGACAATATTTAGAGAAAACTTTATACTCAATTAAAAATAAATAAATTTTTATATTATTGAAATGCAAATCTCTAAATTTAACTAGAGCTGTATTATTGTTAGTAAATACTACAATGTCACTTCTATAAAAATGCACTTTGAAAGTAACAGAGTAACTTCCAAATCCCTTATGAGGTCAGCATTATCTTAACACCAAAATCAGAAATAAATCACAGTACAAGAAAACTTAAAACTAATATGCCTCATGAGTATAGGCATAGAGTTATTAGGAAAATACTAGCAAATCAAATCAAAGATTATGTGGATGAATTCATAAGTCATGATTAAGTGGGGTTTATCTTAGGAATACAAGCCCATATTATCCACCATATGGTGATTAATCACAGTGACACATTAAAGAAGAAAAGCCATATGGTCATCTTATTAAATGTGGGAAGTGTACTAGACAAAAATTCATCACTCAGTCATAAAAGAATGTTTCTATAAACTGAGAACAGAGGAAATTTCATCAGCAGATAAAGCTGCATATAGGAATGAACTACAGACATGGTCTAACCTAACATATGTAATTACGAGGGACAGAAAGCTTCCTCCTTAGCAAACAAAACAAAAATGGTCATTCTCACCAGTCTCATTTAGTATCTTATTAGAGATGTTACCCACTTAATAACTGAAGAAAAATAAAAAGCATACAAAGCAAAAGCAAGATGTATCATCTGATAGGAATAAAGAAAATGATGAAGATTTTTAAAATGAGGCATAACTCTTACCTTCATTTAGTACAATTATAATACATAATGCCAATGTACAAATATCAACTGTATTTCTATATATGGGGCTCAAACATTTGGAAGTGGACAGTACAAAATGATACTACTTAAAAACCCTATCAACACCACATAAGCCTTAGCTTTAACCTCACACAATGTGGGTTATATCTGTAGACTGAACTACAAACTGCTGATTAAATACAGAATGCCCTGTAAATGCAGGTACAGAGGTCAAAGAAATGGGAAGTCTGAGATTAGAATCATACAAAATAGGAGATGTTTAGTTATTTGCTAGGCTAGACTACACAACAAAGCTGGTAATAAGGAACTTCATGAAGCCAAGAATGCATTCATCGGTTAATCATCAAGGAAATGCAGCCTTTAATCCTATAACAGAAAGAAACTGAAAACAGTCAACAACTGAATCAGCTTGGAAGCAGATTTTCTTGTAGAGTCTCCAAAAGATAAATTAGATGGACTTCTTAAATTCCGTGTCATGATATTCTAGCAGAGATTATAAACATACAGTATCAGGCATTTGATCTATGGAATTGTAATGTAATAATTGGGTATATTTTAAACTGCTTAAGTTTATGGTCACTTGTTATGCAGCAATGAAATACTAATAAATTCATCTCAGAGGGAAATATATATTTTAAAATGCTCATATATCATACTTTGAATTTTCTTACTTTCAAATTTTCTATATACATGTATTTGATGTATCTTTCGCAATGCTGAAAGCTATTTTTTATTCTGATAGCTTTTGTCTTATATTTGGAAAATCCTATTAAATTATATTAAATGCAATTAATGACATTTGGCTTTAAAATTTAAACATGTTACATTCCATTTGTAACTGTTTTGTCTCTGCTATTTCTATTCATAAATTCCATTTTAAAAGATTTTATTTCATAGTTTTTGTGTATTCATGATTTTATTGATTACATTACAAAAATTTATCCTTAAATAATTAAGAGTACAAATTATTTACTTTCCCAAAGAATGTTAAATATTTTATGACCATTTTCTTCTGCCCCATCTTTTTTTCCTGTCATTACATTTCTGTTCTTTATGACAATATTTTAAATTATTGTTTGGCATATTAATTCTATATGCCAAAAATGATACTGTTATTTCTTAGACTTCCATGAAATAGATACTTAATATAAATATTATAATATTATACCACTCAATATTTATTTACCATACATGATCATTACAGATCGGAATTTTATCACATTAGATTTGCAGAGAACATTTTTGCTATAAAGTGGTTAAAAGTGAGTATGAGTATTTTGTTAAAAAATACTTGGGCTTAGAGAAAAATTTTGAAATTTCACAAATGTGGTAAACATTTCATACAGTGGTAGACTCTGTTTGGGATGCTCATAGCCTATATTATAGGTGTTGGGTTCAAATTCTTGCACTACTTCCCATTCCAGCTTCCCATTAACATGCAACATCGGAGGCAAAAATGATGTTTCACCCACATGAGACATGTGGACTGCATTCTTGGCTCCTAGCTCTTCCCTAGATGCTGCAAACAGCTGGGGGTGAAGCAACACATGGGAGATATTCTGTCTCTCTCTCCCTTTGGGGATCTGCAATGCTATTTTCCATTATATAGGCACCGTATACAGTGCAACAGAATCACAATTGATTACAATGTTTGTGGTTCTGAGTTATTTTTGAGAGTTGCTATGTTAGTGGGCATGAAGTGAAATAATGTTTCTTTAAATGTTCTCAAATTAGTGATTCCGAGCATCTTTTTGCTTGTTGGCCATTTATAATTCCTCTTATTATTTTTCCTTACAATTCAACCCTTGATTTTGCTCATTAGAAACCATAGATTTTTTTTAAAATATATATTTATTTGGCTTATTTATGCTTTAATTGTTTTTTTTATTTTTATTATTATTTTTTTTAAAGATTTATTTTTATTATTTTTTTTTTTCATTGGAAAGGCGGATATACAGAGAGGAGAGGCAGAGAGGAAGATCTTCCGTCCGATGATTCACTCCCCAAGTGAGCGCAACGGGTCGATACTATGCCGATCCGAAGCCAGGAGCCTCTTCAGGGTCTCCCATGCGGGTGCAGGTTCCCAAAGCCTTGGGCCGTCCTCAACTGCCTTCCCGGGCCACAGGCAGGGAGCTGGAAGGGAAGCGGGGCCGCCGGGATTAGAACCGGCGCCCATATGGGATCCCGGGCGTGCAAGGCGAGGACCTTTAACCACTTGCGCCACCGCGCCGGGCCCATTTATGCTTTAATTGTAATTTCACTTGCTTCGGGTTTAAGTTGTTCTCTTTAATCTCATTAGGTATAAATTTAAATAGTTGACTTGAGACTTTTTTAAGCAGTCATTTATTACAACATACTTTAAGATGTGATCTTATTGTAGTCAGTAAATTTGGCTTATGTTGGTTTACTTTTTTCCTCACAATTCTTTAAAATTCTCCCCATAATTTCTTCTATTATATATACACCTTTATATCCATTAGAATATATTTTTAAATTTTTGATCTCAAGTTTATAAGCAAATTTGAACAGAAATTTATACTTAATTTGGTTTTAAAATATTAAAAATCCATGCAATTTTTTTTCATATTACACATTTTTGTGAAGTTTTAGAAAACCCTGTAATACATATATTTTTCCACAGTTCCTAGTGCTATTGACTTCTAGTTTCATTCCATTGTGGTCAGCAAAGATACTTCTATGATTTAAATCTTAAATTTTTAAAGATTTGGGTTTTGTGGCTTATCCTCAGAAATGTCATTAAGTAACAACACATTATTTCCTATTCTGGAGAGTATTCTGGGTTGACCTTGAGCTCAACGTATGCTTTCTTTTTGAGCAGAGACTTTAATGGTTTAAAACTGCTCATTTCTCATTTTGCTGAAACATAGTATCATGATATTGTTTAGATGTCAATTTGTGCTTTCTTCAAACACTAAATTTCCTTAATGTCATTTTAACTCTGTCATTTAATTCAAATAGTTGTGGCTCTTTAAGGTCACTTTCTTGAGGCTACTTTGTCCCTTTGATAGAGCCACATTTTCCTGCTTTTTTCATGTGCTTTATTTTTACTGCAAGGTGTGCACTTGGACTGACTTTTTACATGGAAAGTGAACAGCCCATGCATTCAGCTGATGCAGAAATCCTGATAGTCCCAAGTCTCTCATGGGCTGTCTCCTTTGGTTTATGTGAGTATTTTCCCAAGGGAGAAGTCTGTCATTACTTTTCCCAGATGTAGGCTGTTAACTCCTGCATCTTTCTCTCTATTGCAGGCTGTCTGACAAGGTGCCTACAGGCATGCAAAGTGTGACAGTTCCCATTAGTGTTCTGAATCAAGAAATGTAAATGCCAGATCTTTGGGCAGCCTCTGTATGTCCAGACATTGGATTAAGTTCCTCTTCTGTTTTCTTCCAAATGTGAAGCCCCAAGTTGTACTTTTCCTCTTTAATTTGAGCTTTGCTAACTTGGAGGAGAGGTTTCTTATCATTTCAAGGTACTTTTCTTAGCTTTGAATGTATTTAGGGTACTGTTACTATGAACTTAATTTCCAGAACTCTCATAACGTTTTTTTTTTACTAATATAATTATAATACATAAATACAGATCATATAATACATATTTTATAAAATGGTAACCATATACTATATTATATTATAAATTATTATTATTATAAAATGATAACTATATACAATATATCCTGAGGCAAGGTTTAGGGCTTCTTATTCTGCCACCTTGCTGTCATTACTCTACTGATTTTTATTTTTATAATTTTCTTTTACTCAAAATCTGCTGATTGTGTTACATTTGGAGTAAGAGTATTATACACAGCAAATAGATGGGCCATGTTCTAAATCTATTACATAAATATTTGCATTTATCAAGCTTATTTAAACAATTTTTGTTTAATGTAATTATTATGTTGATAATTATGTTAATGTTAGGTGTTATTTGTTAGTTCTCTCGTTTAGTTTTTAGCTTTGTTTTTCTCTGCTATTACTTCAGTTACTTATTTTACTAATTCCATATTGAAGCAACAAATGTGTTCTTAAATACACCTCCTCATCTAAATTTCTCAGTGACTGATTTAGTTATTCTATTGCACATCCATAAATTAACACCATCTACTTGTGGATCTTATTGTAAACCAAGGAAAACAGACACATTGTAGTTCTTCATGTCAAATATATCCTGTATATACATTGAGAACCACATCAGTTGCTATAATCTATGTTCCAAACCCAATCATCAAAAATACTTTTAAAAACTTAATACAGGGAAAAGTTATTGGATCTATCCATATTTTTGCTATACTGTTCCTCCTGATTCATGATCCAATACTCCTTCTTTGTTCATTTTCTTTTGTGTAGAGAACTTTTTATACTCATATTTTTGGAATATGTTTCCTATGAACAAATTTTCTTAACTCCATTCATCAGAGAATGTCTGCATTTAATCCTAAGTGGTTTTCACTGGTACATGATCCTGGGTTGACAATTCTTTTCTTTTGGTTTATGAAATATAGCTAGGTTTCCTTCTGGCCTTCAGAGTTTCTGATCAGAAATCTGAGTAAAACTGGTTAAGTACTAATTGTAAGGTATCTTTAATTGGTGTTCAGAAACTTGTGATAAACGTTAATATGGATTTAACTGGAATTTTTCACCTCATGGAATTTGCAGGTTCCTATACTTTACTACATTTGAGTTTTCAGATAGTTATTTCCATGAAACATTTTGTAATCCTCCTTACTCATTATCCTCGGAACTTCTGGCGTGTCATTTCTGGTAAGAGTAATAGAAATTCTGGTACTTCACCTTGTCCCCAAGGACTTTCACGCAACAAGACTCATATTTTTCCCTTACTAGGTGTTTCTGCACAATCTGAGGAAGTTGGAGCATCTTATTATAATCTCAGAGGGTAAAGGTTGGGGTATCCCAGTTAGTTTTTGCTGGAGTTGGTTAAGCTAGGGTCATAGTAGGATGGAACCAGAGTTTTGTGTGTGAGTATATGTATGCGAAGGGGTTGTTTAATTCAGGTAGAGATAATCATTTTCTGAAATTCATTTATTTTGATAGGCTACCTCATTCTTCATCTCTTCAGTAAAGACTAAAATAGGTTTTGTTAGGCGTCCGCGTGTGTGTGTCCATTTGCAGTTCAAAATTGCCAGCACATCACCATTCCTGGGTACTTGAGGAGAAAGAAGTCCAAGAATCTCATTATTATGTTGTTCTTTGGATTCAGGTGCTACCAACTGTAACATTTCTCCTATTTTTCCAAGATCTCTTATGTTTGTCTTCTAAATTAAACCAAGGATTTTTAATGGTACTTAGTAGAAAAATTGTAAAGGACATTTAGTAATCTATCTTCACATTAACAGAAGCTCCTGCTATTTTTTAAAAATTTCATAGTTAGCTTTACTTTTATTTTCATTCCTAATATTAGAACATGAAGTGGGTTAATATACAATTTGGAAATATTTCTGGTATTACAGCTTTGAAACATTTTACATAACCATGTGATAAGCACACACACACACTCACACAAACACACACACGATTCTTGGATTAGTGGCAATCACATAATTGTTGGCAATATCCTCTGATTTTCACATGAATTCTTTCTTGACTAACTTATCATGATCTTTCCATTTGGATTTTCTCCCAGTGACATAATTTATATTTAATTCTTTAAAAACCAGTACTATATTTACAGTGGTTTTATTCTATCATCAATATTATAATCTTTGCATAGAAGCATATCATACTTTTACTTACACTGCTAATACACATACAATTATTAAAAAGTATTGGAACTCAGAAGTATTTTTTATTGTAGTTGATGAATTGATAACTCATACAACACATCTCACTTACCCGGTAATAATGATTTCTGGATATGTTTGTGCTCCAAGGTTCCAAGCTCCTCCACTAATTGGCCATTCCTAAGTGCATTACACAGAAAGAATATATACATTTTTCTCTTAGTTTGAATGATAGTCAAACTTATAACACATTTTAAAATAAGTCTTGCTTAATATTAAAGAGCTGTGAAGCAATCAAGGATGAGGTGCATATTTCTAAATTTTCCAAAGAACAAGTACCTCTGAAAGCACAATTCTATCTCTACTAATGCAGTTTTTAGCCAATATTAGCTTTCTTATAATAATCAAATATTTAACTTGCGCAAATAAGAGGGTACTTCAAAACATTTTGTGGAAATGTAGATGATGCAAAAACTGCATAGGTTTCAAATTTTTTTGCACCAGAATAGCTTGCCTTTCATTCCTTTTTTTCATGGCCTTCTTGAAGGACTCTTGAATAGTGTTGCTGCATGTGTCACAGTTTGTGGACGACCACACTACCATGGCGCAACTTAACAGAATTATAAGTAAATGACATCTTTTAAAATTGTCTATCCTGATAGCACTGGGAAAATAAGATGCTTGATTCACCATGGGCAGTCTGAATTCATGTTCTGATAGTTTCAGCTTGGGTTTCAAATATAGGTGTTAGAGGAAATAGTCATAAATATTATTTAATTTATACAGTGAAGACAAAGAGCATACATATCTGGGACAGTTACACTTGGCTTGATATTAGAGTTATCTCAAGGAATTATTAAAATCTAGATTACTCTGATGCAGCCTCGGTTTCTGATTATGTTAGTCTAAGTCAACTTGAAGGACTATTTGATGGGTATTTTAAAATTTTTTGGCTGACATAATTAAAATATATAAACATATATATGGTATCTAATGTGATGTTCCAATGAATGTATACATTGCATAATGATCAAATTAGTGATTATGCTGTCACATCATTTACTACTTTTTTGTGATAAAGACACTGAAAAATCCCATATATTGAAGAACACAGTAAATTATTGTCATTAGAGTCACTACAAAGCACAAAGAACACCAAAACTTGTTCCCGCCACCTAACCAAATGTTGTACCAGTTGACTAACCTCTTCCCATTTTTTTGCCCCCTTCCTCTCCTGACTCTTTGGCAACTTCAATTCTCCTCTCAACTTAATGATATGAACAATTTTATGAGTGAGAGCAATGACTGATAATTGTAACTTTTACCTTATTACTGTACCCTTGCTTTTTATGCTTGACTCCTATAGAATAGAGCACCAGGATCAAATCCGGAGGGCAATCAGCAAAATACGCTGTGCATGTAACTGGTGATTCATGAATATCCATGGGATATGGATTTTCAAAGATGGGAAAACTGATAAAGACAAAATAGTAGAGGCATTTTACAAAGATAACACATGAAATAATCCTCATAATGTAAGCCCTAATGTGTTTATAAATATTTACCATAAATTCAAGCTTTTGAAGTAGTATAAAGTAAGAATCATAGAAAAATTCCTTTAAGAGATTTATCTGAAACTATGCTGATAAAATTTTAACAAATATAATTCATTTTCCTTTCAGAATTTTAATATTCGGCAGTAAAGTTGCATCCTACTATGGATACAATGACTTATAATAAATTTGACATTATGAAATAATTTACAATATCTTTTAAATCATATAAACTAGTCATTTTGAAAAAAAATTTCTAATTACTTTTTAGTATTAACATATAGCAACTTCTGATATTTTTAAAAGGGAAGTATCCACACAGGCAAGTTTTCCATTTTTTCTGGAAGGTATTTAAAGACTGTAATTTGTAGGTGTGTGTCTGTAATTATGTCTGTCTTATGTATCATTTATCATGTAAACTACAAATGGATGGGAGGAAAACTTGGAGATAATCTCATATCCTCAAGCATACTGTAACTTTAGGAAAAATACACATATAATCAACATAACAATTTTTACAACCATAATAATTAAGAATTTCTCATGTTTTAGATGCTATTTTCAGGATAAAATGAATCTTATTCTATGTGACGCCTGTTTTAGACTTGGTGAATGATCATATTAATTTTGAGATTTTCTTGGGACAATTTTTCAAAATAATTTTCTCCTCAGGTATCAAGAATCTTAAGTTTAGGACTTGAGTTCAACCTCCAAGGTATGTGATGTGTATGTATATTTTGGCAAGTGTGTGTGTGTGCTGTGTCTGTGCAATCACGTTTGTCTATTTGCAAGGATTCTCTTTCTAGCAATCTGAAGTGTTTAAGCTGATATTCCAGGAAGTCATAATGGTGTACAGAAATGTACATAGATATAATTCATAGTAAACATCAAGTGAGTTAAGGTGAACAGAGATTTCCCATTTCAGAGAAGAAATTATCATCACTGAGATCCATGAGTTAGAAGACATAAGAGTCAACTTAAAACCAGACCTACAACTTGGAATATGATGTTACTACGAAGTAGCAATGACGGTTTGTAACTAGGTGAATACTACTGTAAAAAAATTATTTTGAGAAAAATTATTTGGTATATTGACAAAGTGTAGGCAAAATACTGAAGAAATAAAAAATAGCTTAAAATTTATAATAAGCACTTAGATGTGGACTTATGCAATTGGTTGTTGTGGTGATGGTGGTGATGGTAATGAAGTTATGTATCTCAGGATCAAGGGGAGGAAACTGTAATCCTTAGTGCTTACTTTCATATTGAGAATTGAATGGAAAAGCATAAAAGGAAGAGGGACAGGGAGGAATATGCAAAAGAATGCACTTTCACAATTTGTTTAACATTCAGAAAGTCTGAGATGAACTACTAAGAGGGGAAAGAAAATATATTCAACATTGACAGTTTTTATATTATGTAAATATAATGATATGGGAAATTCAGACTTTTAAAACATGAAAAGGAAAATAAATAAAAACTTGTAAGCAAAATATCAATTCACAAAAATTGATAACAAAAAGTATACACCTAAATGTATAATGTAGTAACTGTCATGTGATGCACATTTTACAATAAAAAACAATTTAAAACATAAATATAAATAGATATGCTGAAAAGTGGCTATTAATAATATAAAGGGCCTTAGAGAATATTACAATTAGCATTTGAGAAACCAAGAAACATCACATAGAACAAAGAGCTGAATATCAATGGTATCAGAAAGAATGCAACTTAATAAAACTTATGCTACAACTTCTTACAAGAAGCAGCATAAATTACATGTGTGGAAAATTCAACCATGCTTAGCAGGGCAATTAGGCAAAATTCACTGTTGTAATAATCTTATAGTTCAAATCACAAGTCCCTTTCAAAATGAAGATACATTGCATAACACAAATCAGCACAAAATAGAACTTTAGCTCTTAAATTTACAAACTGCATGGAAAGTATAATTTAACTACAATGTATGCAACAAAAATTTGCTGAGAATTTATTCCACACACGAGGCCACAGCTCAGTAGGGACATGATCCTTAAATGGAAATTGCATGGCTCACAAAAGCTATGAAAAAGGAATGCAGGAATAATTTACCAAATTATAGAGGCAAAGAAAGATCTATTTTTAAAGAAGTGGCATCTTAGCTGAGATTCCTACACATAAGAAGTTAATACAAGAATAGAAAGAAGAGATCATTGTAAGCAAAGAAGAGTAAATGCATCAAATTTAGTTTCAGATACAAGGGCTAAGAGTTGGTGGTAGGAGAATTTACACACAATCAGAGAAAATTAATTTCTTGCCTAACATCATTTAAAATGAAAAAGTATAACAGAAAAACTGTGCCCATAAATCCCAGCCTACTTTAACTGCCCATGGCAAGGAATAGAGAATATCAGTGTCACAGCAGTATTCTAGATATTTTTCAATCATACAACACAATGTAAAAGCAAAAGGAAAGAAGGTCCCATCTTCCCTAATCCTGAGAGCTTGCCTTCCTGTATTGTCTGTGTGCAATAATACTTTAACCATGGATCATTTTCCTTTGGTCAGTTTTATTCTAACCAACAGACCTTAGATGATAGTCACCAACTAGATCACACATGTTTTCCTAACATTGGTTTTAGTTTAAGGAAACCGCCGAGATATATTCCACTCTGTATCCATTGTCTCAAATGCTTTTGTCCAAACATCAGGTCATAAATGTTATAAGCCTTTTTAAAATGTCATAAGCCCTTTTCAGTGTCAGCAAAACTTTCCTGGGTTAGTTATTACTCAACAAAATCGTATTTTTGTAATTTTAGCAAAATTGTATTCACATGATATTTACTATTCAAAGAATGCTAATACCAAAATGTACTTCTGTATTTAATGGCAACAATACTTTAAAATATTTTTACATGTACATGGACAACTTACTTGCTTTGTGTCAGATCAACTACAATGAGATCTTTTTCCAGAAGTACCACTACAGCATACGGTTCCTGAAATTCTAAAAGTAAAAATAAAAACTTGTAGCATTTTTATATTATATATTTTTAAAAATATCACATTATTTTTCTCTCCTATACAAATGTTAAATGACTTGAAAAGATCAAAATTAAAGTCAAAATAAGACTAAAAGGGCACTTTAAAAAAAACATTCTCTCAACTTTGTTGTTAGCACAAAAAACAAGAAAGTGAGATATGACTTCACATCTTGAAGTCATGAGAGCAGATTATGTGAAATAAATCATGCTGTAACTGTTGTTTTACAAACTCTTCTATAATTTTAGTAATTTGGAGTTAACTACATGTAACTACATATAACCTAATGATAGTTCCCACCTTTCCTCCTTTCTTATTTTTATTTTGGTAGAACATACTTTCAATTTACTTTATAATCACAAGCTTAATCCTCCACTAAATAAATAATTCAACAAGTAGAAAGACCACCGTTCCTCAGCAGTACAGACCAGTGCTATAATAACAATCCAATCTCGATATGCTAATTTCACTCATATGCATTATCTTTTTTTGGTGCTGCATATGTTATCTGCAAAAAAAAAATCACAGAAAACATATATCTATCTTTTGGGGATAGTCTTTTTCACTAAACATAGTGTTCTCCAATTGTATCCATTTTGTTTCCAAAGACAGGATTTTACTCCTTTTTTATGGCTGAGTTCCACTGTATATAACTAACACATTTTATTTATCTATAGACATCTGGGTTGATTCCAAATCTTAACTATTGTGACCTGAGTTGCCATGAACATTGGAAACAGATAATTCTTTCATATGCTGATATAAAATCATATCCTTTAGGTAAATTTCATGTCCTTTAGGTAAAACTTCTAGGAGTGAGACGGCCGAGTCATATGGTGCATTAATTTTTTTCTGAGACTTTCTATCTTCTCATTTAGCTCTGAGAATTAAAAACAGTTTTCCCCTTTGCTTTTGATATAGATTATATTCTTTGTATTAAAATTGAGTCATTTTAACATTCTGCTAGTCAATTCAAAGGCAGATGTTAATTGCACATTTACACTTTTTTCTTGAAATAGGGATATTAATACATCACGAAGTGTGGAATGTGTAAATGAAAATTATGTGGGGGTGGGAAAAGCATATTGCCATGTACCTCATTTAACTCAGTGAAGCAATAATTGTGTTATTTATGATTGCTTCAACACATCTGGGTGATGTTTTTATTTTTCAGTGGGAAGAAAAGTGGGTTTCCATGAGACTAGGTTTGTTTTTTGTTTTTTTTTGTCTTTACTCCCCTTTAGGGATATCACTGGTTAGAAAGGAAATGCTACAAAAATACAGTAGTTGAGAAACAGGCATGAAAGAGCTAAAGTTATAGCTACATTAATTACAATCTTAGGTAATTGTACCCATTTTAGTCCTGTTGTTCTTTTAAATAACACTAACTGGCAGCAAAGGCCATAGCTTTACATCAGTACCTTGTGTATTATACTTGCTAGTGAATAAAAGGATTTCTTAGGAGTCAAAGAATCAATTTTATGTCTACTATTTACTGAAGAAAAAATTTGTTAACTTGTTCATCTAAACTTCTTTCTACTGAAATGGCACAGCATAAACAACCTTAGCTTATCACAAACACTAAATAAAACAATGTACAGAACATTGTTTAATGCAAAGCCTGGTACACAGTAGGCATTCCACAGGTTACAACTGCACTACTTCCCTTTTTAATAGATTGGTTTATTTCTGAGTGGGCTCAGCTTTTTTAAAAAAGTAGCCCTACTGGGACAAAAATTATGTTATAATTACTCTTTTTTTGGAGGGGGGGGTCAGTACATTATTTATGGGGATGTAGAGGAATGAACACATTTAAACCTCAATGTGAAACAAATTTTGATCATAGTCTTTAATTACTCAGGGCAGTGCCATCTCAATTAAAAGCATTGAAGCGCTGTGCACTCTGAGAAATAAGTTGAATTGCCAGATGTCATAAATGGTTCAGCAATAACAAAACATGTTAATAAGTTTGTTGCATTGAACATGTGCATAATATTTATCAATATGTGAATGTAGAGGATGAACTTACATATTTATTAACATGAAACTGAATTTATACAGCTGACTAAAAATAAACTACAGAACAGTATGTTGAAAATGCTATTGTTCAAAAAAAGATTATGCACACATAAATAATTAGATAAACTTATTTATGTGCACAGATTATTTGGGGAAAAATGTAGAAGAAACTTGGTAGCACTGGTCGCCAATAAAAATAACCTGAGAAATTTCATTTTATACAGCTGTTTATTGCCAGCCTTTTTCATGATATTTTCACATGTCAACTACATTAATAGTTAAATCCATTTAATTGGTTAATAATACTGGGGAAAGTTGAACTACTTCTAGCTTCCAACAAGTGAAAAATTTGATCCTCATTACCATCTCTCTGAAAAACAAATATTTATATGTGTGACTTAGAGATTACTAAGCTTGATTTTAAAGTTCATTTATGTTTCATTAAGCATCATCAGAAATGGTCTGAGTATCTCCAGTGATGTGTGGATGTTTATATATACAGATATGAAGTATTTTACCTTTGCAACCACACATTCAATTCCTATTACTGTAGCATCTTCCTCAAGGCTCTTAACAGGAAGCAATTTCCTTTTTTTTTTAAGCTTTATTTATTTTTATTGCAAAGTCAGATACACAGAGAGGAGGGGGAGTGACAGAGAGGAGGATCTTCCGTACAATGATCCACTCCCCAGGCAGCCAGGATGGCCAGAGCTGCACCAATCCAAAGCCTGGAACCCAGAGCCTCTTCTGGGTCTCCCATGCGGGTGCAGGGTTCCAAGGCTTTGGGCCATTCTCAACTGCTTTCCCAGGTCACAAGCAGGGAGCTGGATGGGAAGTGGGGCTGCTGGGATTAGAACTGGTGCCCATATGGGATCCTGACACATGCAAGGCAAGGACTTTAGCTACTAGGCTACTGTGCCAGGCCGCAAATACCTTTCTTTGTTGTCAAGGAAGCAATTTCCTAAGCTCAGATTTGCTCATATATTTTCTCTTACTTTATCATTGTCCATTCTCATAACTCCTTAAAACATTTATTTTCTGAATGTTTATAAATATCATAAGCCTTATCTTTTCATTTTCCAAATAAGTGATCTTTGTCTCTTTTTGCTATTATTGCATATGAAATAATATTTCTGAAATATAGTTATCCCATTTTCCTGATGTCATTTCCCAGTCCAGAAATTCAGCAAGTTTAATGAGGTGTTTCTCATTCCATTCCTTCAGATAGCAACTTTAGGCCTTGATAACTTTAAATGCACATTATAAAAATTCTTACTGGAATCTAGGATATCATATTTCAGGGTTTTCCCTCAAAAATCATGCTTCTTTTGGGGGGAGGCGAGAGGGAATATCTCAGTAAAGTATTGCTTTAATCTTAGTGCTTCTGGCATGGGTCGGGGGCAGACCAGGCAGAATCAGTTCACATCATCCACTGGCAAATCTGAACGCCGGAACAGAGTGTGTTCGAGCCAGGTTTGGTCGTGACAAAAGCAGTGCACAATACAGAATGCCAAGGTGAGGTTGCCTGTGCCAGATGTGACTGCAGCACCCAACAGCACACATGAGAATCAGGAAGGGAGGGGGCAGAACCGGCAGGGAAATAAGGGGTGGTTCCCTAACTGAACAGCTACTCTCATTTGAGAGCATGAGCTGGGCTACAACACCTGTGGGCCTCATGTGGACTAGATCAGGAAAAACCAAGCTGGGCTGATTATTCCTACTGGTGCAAACAAAATTAGAGTGGGTGAGGGTTGTTGGGGCTTAGCCACAGCATCAGCTGGCAGAAGCTGGCACTGGGGGCTAGTTTTGTCAAGTCAAATCACAGAACCACCTGGAGAGTGCATAATGTGGGAGTGGGAGTGGCCTGGAAGGGAAATAGTAGGCTCCTCCCTCTTGGGTTACCACCCCCCACAGGAGGGCATGAAAACTAGGACAGGGGCTGGGGTGGCTAGACAGAGACACCCAACAACATCCGTGAAGGCTGGATAGTTGAGCTGGTTAGATGGAACAAGGTTTTAATACCCATTGACATGTATGAGAGCAGAAGGGGATGTGGGACAGACTGGACTAGTCTGCCACACATACTGGCAAACCAGGGTAGGGGGCGGGCCTGGTGGGGGTTATTGTGGGTCACTCCGACTAGGCTGCAGCTCCCACTGGTTTATGTGAGGGCCGAGTATGTGCTGGGCAGAACCAGGCTGGACTGCAAACACCCATTGGTTCCAGTGGAAGACAGGGATGGAAACAGAACCAACCCAGCAACTGCAACCACCAGCTGATCGGGGCAATGGACTGTGCCGGGCCCTGTGCTTGCTAGTACATACAAGAATCTGGTCTGGGAACACCTCAGACAAAGTTTCTTTGGGGATCCCCCCAATCGAGCTTCCAGACTCAGAACCCTAACCATCAAAAGACAGAGGACAGAACAAATTGGTCAACCACCTCAGCTGTATGTTGGCAATGAAAACACTGGGCAAATGGAGACTCTATGATGGACTATGTCAGTCAGTGGATTCTGCAACAACCTCATTGTGCTTGGAGTGGTGAGAGTGGCAGCAATTCAGAATTGTTGAACTATCAAAACCACTTGAGCAAGACCCTCGGAGCATGCCCCACATCTGGGACCTGGGGTGGGTGGGGCTTCTCCCTTAAAATCCCCTTTTACATCAGATATATTAAGGAAACAATACGGAACTAATTGTCTTGCCCATCTTCCTGTAGTGCTTGAACCTTTTTACCCTAATTATGTCAAGATTGTCAAATAAATAAATGAATAAATAAATAAAAACATTTAGAAAGAAAAATCATTAAAAAGAAACTTTAGTGTTTCCTCAAAATTCCTCCAATGCTCTACTTCAAAACATATCTAAAAGGTTCCAATTTTTTCTCTAAACTACTTATACTATAAAACCTCACAGTTTCTAACATGTTTCATTAATATCCTTTTCAAAGCCTACTTAATCCAATTTTGCCATGAAGCATTACGTGAGTGCCTTAGTCATTAACTATTAAACTAGACTATATATTGGTTTGTTACTTATACTGACACCCATATAACCTAGTATTTAATTAAGATTTTAGATTATTTAAATTTAACAAATTCTAATAATTTTGTTCATATGATCAGACTAAAATATGATACCAGAAATTTGTTTCATTCTTGATTTGTATGTTCTACAGTCTGCTCTGTTGATACAATAGGTATGTAATAAATATTAATTGGCAATATAGATGACTTATCTGACACTAGTAATTCTGGAAATCAAATGCTATTCTGATTAATATCTACCCAGTGTTTAATATGAAATTAAATAATTTAAAAGAATTCATTCAATAACACAACTAAGAACATATATTTCTTTCTAGTTAATAAAGTATGTTCACTTTCTGATAATCCTGTGTGGTCAAGGTTATTTTCTTTCTACAAAAGATAAGAAAATCACAAATGTTAAGTAATCTACTCAAAAGCACATATCTAGTGAGCGGTAAGACTAAATCAGAAATTGAGATATCATGTACTCAGACGTAGTGCACTTTCCCCAAGTCTACAAGCTCCCTAATGAAGATGAGCAACATGCATTCAAATCACATTGCCTAAATAACAAACTTTTATTTACTTGTTATATGTTCATTCTCATAGCTTTAAAGAGTTTATTATTAAGGTTTCATGGTCATTAAATTTCGTTATATATTCTGCTTATGTGTTTAGACTGGTTTGCTTTGCTTTTAGCAGTAAGCATACTAGCAAAATTTAATAAAGGAATATTATTTGATCAATCACATGGGCACTCAAGAAATAATTGAGTGCAGTATGCATTCAGGTTGGAGTTTGTATGGGTCAGGGTATGAGTGCAACATTTCTCATACTAAATTTAAAAAAAAAGTCTTTATATTCAGGATGATAAGAAACCATGTAAGCATATGACTTCCAGAAGAGCTTTCTGATTATTTTCAAAACTGAAATAAATCACTAACCACGCATCAGCAATCCTGGAGTAATCAGAGGTGCTGCAGTTGCATCTGAAGCAAAGCCAGATCTGAAACAGATGCAGCATCACCAGAGTTACAGATCACTGATATCAGGTAAGTGCTTTAACTTTGATTGGCTTTGGAATGGGATGGGTGGAGCTGGTCTAGGAGAGACTATTAGGAGACCTCAGTTTCCCCAAGCAATTTCACCCCAGACCCCTATCCTTCCCTCCCAGCTCAGCTTCCACCATCCTTATCAAAGTTTAAAGCACTTACCTGAAATTAGAACCTGAAACGCCAGCACTGCCACACTACATCTGTCTTAATTCCAGTTTGTCAAGTAGGTACAATTGCAGACCTGCTCCAGCACCTGTAGCTCAGTGTTGTAGGACAGTGGACATCTGCTGCCAAACTGAAAATATTTCATCTTAATTTTGTTAAGAACTTGTCATTTTAAAAATGATTTCTCAACAGTAATAGAGTTATTACTTACCATTTGGATAGGGTGTGTCACATAAAGTTAGAAATTCAACAATAGGATGATCCATTTCAAGCACTGTAATTGCTTTTCCATGCATGATGGTTAAACTTGGTCTTCTGCAAGCTTTGTCATAGGATAATCCACCAGAGAATATTATGAATGGTTCACTAAACAGGAAAAAAATGTTAATGAGACTGCCAAGTTTCAGATGATAGGAATTCACAGGACTGAACTTTTATGGAACATGCTTGATGGGAATTATCTGTAATTCAATTTGACACAAATAGCCTTTCCTGGTCTCCAAATCCTCACTCTACAATCATTTCCCTTTTTCTGGATACACAATCTCACCACTAAAATCATGAACATATCACCCCAGTAATGTGAAGCTAGAGGACTCTGGAGGTGCTCATTGCCTCTTTACATGAATTAGTTGGTTCCTATACTGTAAAGCACTCTAAGTAGAAGATTAGTCTATGTTAGAATATCAGGTTTACTATTTGGTATTTGAGACTCTAATCTGTAAGAGAAAAAAAGAAATGTGACAGTGGAAAGTCCAAGAATGTTAGTCAGTGAACACAAAATTCTAAATACACTTTCTGTGATTATAACTTAAAGATGGAGAAAGCTGGTACAGAAGACAACAAGAAAGCACCAAAGACAAACATGATCTTGATTGTACCTATGACCAGCGATCTCCAGTTTCCTTGCTTAATGAACTTCAAACAATTATTTTTGCCTATTAGTTTGTAAGACATAAGTAGATAGAACTGGGTTGGCATAAATGTAATTTGTTACAGTTGTCTTATTAATAGCTTTATGATTTTTCTTTTCTCAAATCATTACCTACATATTTACACTATTTGTATAAAAGAAAAGAAGTTATGCAGCCTTTTTAAAGAAGCAAATCCCCAATTAAAAATATTCTTGTCAGAAAAACCTTTTCAAAAAGAATCTTTCAGGTTTAAATTCTTTGAGAATATGCTTCCTCTTAGACTTCGCTTCCATCCTATCTGCAAAACTAAAGAACACACTTGTCTCAAGCAATCATTCTGTATGGTTTCCCTTCTTTTTTTCTATTTTGCACTGCGCTAATGTTAGTTTATAGAGCAATCAGAAAATTCTGAACTTTCTTATCCAAACCCATATTAAACCTACATATAAAACTGAGTAATTTTGCCTTTTAAAAATTCTTACTATTTGGATTTGTTTAGGTTGTAAGCACAACAAACTGCCATGTTCTAACTCAGATTTCTTCTGTTTTCCTCATTGGCTGATTTTAGTGATACTCTTGCACCTGTGATTCTACATGCTATTAATGAAGCAAAAAAAAAAAAAAAGGCATACTCTTGGATCTATTATTTGTTTCTACAAACTGTGCATATATAGTAAAACCTTTGCATATTTAAAACTATTTCTAATGTGATTCTTTATGAAATAGCAATTTTTTTTGTATGCACCTTAGAAAACCTGTCTTAACACACCCTAGGATAGGAAAAGTACAAAATTTCTGTTCTAATGGCTCTGTATCAAAAAAACATCGGGCCCTAAGTTAATTATTAACACACATTCACTCTGTGAACTACTAAATGATCTGAACAAAAGTTACTGCCCTAGAAAATTGCTGAAGGAACTTTTCATGATAACTGTATTACATATCTATTACCATATTAGATAATATGTATTTTTACTTATCTTATTAATGAGGGTAAAAAACAAGCAGCAAAAGCCAAAAGAAAACTGGAATATTTCAGACTCCGGAGTTTATTCCTAACATACAAGTCTGGTAATAGAGCTAAAATTCACTGCATGTTTACCATGTAATAGATGTTACATATACCTACAAAATAAACTTTATGTAATTCTCACAACAACTATAATAAAGACATTAGTAGTCCAATTTTATTTTGGAGGAATCTAGGATTACTGCAGGTTAAATAACTTATTCAGGGTCAAGCAGTTGTTGAATGTCATGACAAACAAACCAAATGCCAAGACCTAGATGCTTCACTTAATATTTAAATTCTTCAATAAATAAATTTCACAATTTGTCAAGCACTTCTACACGTTAAATGTTCTGAAAAATAATAAATGACCTAATTTATCTGATAGTTCATGGCCCTCCTCAGCACTCCCACACTTCAGACTATGATCTTTTTGTAATGGCAATGCTTTCACCAGTACTCTTTAGTGATCCTCTGGTTTTTAGACTCTGAGCTTTAAGCATCAGAGTTGACTTTCTAAATAAAGTAGCAATCACAAGAAACAGACACAATGCATACATTTACATGTAAGTAGCATGACAGTAATTATTATCAATAATCTTTCTGTTTCACAGTACAGATCTGAAGAATCATTTCTACACATACTTGGATTATCAATTACTAAATCAAGTGCATATGCTTGTTGAATAACAATGCAGGATACCCTAAACCTAATGACAACCCTATTAAATTAACTTCTACTTATTAAGAAATCCATATGTACCTTTATAAAGTTAGACTACTATATGCCTGGCACATTATTTTATTTAGTATTCATGAGGAACATGCTGAGATAGGCATTGATATGAAGCAGAAGTTTAAACAATTAAAATTTTTGATGTCACACAGAAGTCTTATTCAAAAATCAATGGCTTCAAGCATTATACTGCCTTGATTTGTGGTCCTGTTTCCTAAATTAACTTCTTTTGACTTTTAACTTTTCTCCCTTGCCTGGCACCAACTTTGAATTCACTAAGTCCCATATTAGGAATCTCCATTGCTAAGCATTCCCTGATCTTTCATTTCATGGCTCTCCCCACCATTTTTGTCAACACTAGCCTATGGCCCTTTTTCTGTGTTCCTTAGCATTATCTATATAAAACACACTTGATATTTCTTTCGGCAACTACTTGTTCACTAGAACAAATTCAACACCAAATACTAATGTCAAGTTCATACACCAAATTACACAGCACATTGCCTACAGTAATAATTTAATAGTTTTAACTGAATTAAGCTGAATATTTAAGCAATTCATAAAAGTTTTTAAACAGGCAGCTTAGAAAAATGTCATAAAGATTACAGATCATGTATAAGGATACATAAAAATTCACAAGAAAATTAAAATGGTAATTGTTTTGCTGCAAAAGTCTTAATTCATGCATAGATTTCCCTCTTGTGCCTGAGTTTTTCCAAGACCTCCTCATATGTAGTAAAACCACCGGGCCTTCAATGTTAACCTGTTACCCTCATTGTATAAATATTGGCTTTCAAGTTTCTTAGCCTATAGAAAAAAAACAATGGACACTAGCAGATCACACACAGGAAATGACAGACATCCTGGAAGAGCAAAACTAAAGGAGAGAGTAAAACTTAAAACACACACATACACACACACATATATATAACAAGGAAGAAACAAACATATCAAACCAACACTTCCTAGCAATAGTTAACATAACATTTTGCACCTCAATAATCCTTGAAGTAAAACACTACGTAACAATTGACGTAAATAATAATGAATATAAAGACACAAAAAACTTGTTTTTGAATTACAACTTCAAGTACAATTTTAATATATGTGATGTATTTTACATTTCCATCCCTAAAGTTAAATTGAAATACTTTAATACTTTAGTCATAATTGTATAAAATTGTGGTAATTTCATTTTATCAGTTCATGTATTGTAACAACAGGCTAGGCTAAAATGTATTGACATATATTTAAGTTAACTGCTTAAAATTATTAATTTTATATTATATATTATATAAATTTTATAAGTTCATAAAAACAGGTGTAAACAAATCTGATACCAAAAAGAGTGCTACTGTGAGTATGTAATAAATACAGAATACAGTTTAGCTTAGATTAATGTTTAGGCACAGGACTATTATTTTAATTTTGGATGAGACTAGTCATTAATCACCATTACAGGTGAAAATAACAGTATATTTATTATGTAGATATATAGATATAAAATACATAAAATATTACTTTTTGTTCAATTTTATATATCTTAGAGCTTAAAACATTTTTGGGGAATTCACATTGATTAGGCACCACTTATGATGCCTCTATCAACCTGATTAGAGTCTGGGCTCCTCCACATTTGATCTAGCTACTTTATATTGCATATTTTTGGAGACAATAGGTGATGGTTCTTCTTAATCAGTCCTTGCCATCCATGTGAAAGATCCAGACTGAATCTCAGGACCCTGCCTTCATCCAGATCCAGCCCTGGCTGTTATGGGAAAATGAGAAATGAAATAGTAGCTGGAAGATCTCTAGTCTCTCTCTACTGCTCTAATAAATCACTAATCCCTTTGATGAACTTTTAATTAGTTAAAGGGACAAATAGCTAATTAGTTGAAGAGACAAGCACTGTGGCACAGGGGTTTAGATTACCATTTGTGATACCAACATCCTATGTTAGTGCTGGTTCAAGTTCTACCACTACTTCACTTCTGATGCAACTCCCCGTTAATGCTCCTGGAGCTTAGCCCAACTGCTTGCTTAAATCCTCCTACCTTTGAGGGAGACAACAGTGGAGTCCCTAGCTCCTGGTTTTAACATGCCTGGCCTAGTTGTGTCTGCTATGGGCATTTAGGGAGAGAACAATCTTATGAAAAATGTGTTTTTCTTCCTTTTAAATAATTAAATAATGAAAAATGTGTTAGTCTTCCTTTTAAATAATTAATCTTTAGAATTCCACCAAAAGTTGAATCAATATGTTTATTACATTTTAGTAAATTTATACTATGCGGATACATATATTTATTTTTCCTTTCATGCTTGAAAACTTTTATTCATACAGATTTCATGTATATTTTAAGTAAAATTCTAAGAAGATAGTCATACTTCTTTTCTTCCTTCAATTCCCCTGCTTCAGTTCTGTTTTCTTAATTTTTGCAAAAAACATAATTTCAATCTACATTTTGTCTTTCTAGCTAAAGGAATCTTGCAAATTCAGAATCTAAGTCCCAGTATATAGATGCGGTTATGTAGTTAATTCTGTCAAAACATTATCAATAGCATATACCTTATGTTTAGTAAACCCTGTAACTTGAAGTGTGTATGGCCAGTAAGTCCTACATTGTTAAAATTAATATATAATACTCAAAGTACTTGCAAAAATAAAAGAACACATAATTGCAATATTCATAATGATCATTGATGATGTCTATTAAAAGCTGTCATTATTTATGAGAATTCAGCCAGTTAACATAATTATATAAAGCATTAGACAATATGGTTGTATAAAATTATATCCATCTTTCTTGTTTATGTTTCTTAAATGTATTCCCATATTTCCTAAAAAATGCATACCTGTTTCTGCAGGTTTTGTATTCTACTTTAAGAATTGGTTTACAAGATTCAGATTTTCTTCCTTCTCTTTGACTTTGACTTTTTCCTAACAAAAGAAGATATTTTATTAAGTTTAATTTGAATTATACACATCCATGAGAATTTAAAAACAAGAGTATAAAAATCAATAACATAAATATGTTTTTAATAATAGCATAAACATGCCTATATATCTTCACTTGATCTTAGCCAAAATACTGAGAAGTGATGATGCCTACATATCTTACTATTTCTATGGACGTTGTAAATCATTTCAAGAGCGTAAGTACTTGGTTGTAAATGTTAGATAAAATAATACAAATCATATTGCTTTACATTCTTTACATATTAATCTAGTCTCATGTAAAATCATTTTAAGTTTGAAAATAGATATTTATATGTAAAATAAAATGTGCTACCACGAAAATACATACAAGGATCAATATTTGTCTATAATAGTAGCATCTCCATTCATATGCAGAAAAACACCATTTAAACCATATGATGGGTAATCAAAATGATTTCCTTTCCATCTAATTCACTTTAAGGAGAGTTTACTGAACAATAAACAGATTATATACTTCATAATTTATAAAAAATAAATTTATGATATATTGTATTGGCATAAAATAAAAATTCTAGCTACTGGCAGGAAGAGGTTATACAATTTAGATTCCACATGGTTTTGAATAAAGGATCAATAAAAGATGAAAGTTAAGTCACTAATACACATAACACGTCTCATTTAATTCTACATCTCTTGGCATGTACGTACATCTCTTACATAAACTTGGCATGTTTTCTGAAGTATTATGGTTCATGTATACTTTCAGTAAGTACCTTCATTCTTATGTATTTTCACACATAAAATATAGACACACATATCGATTATGTAGAGGTATTTATATATACACATTTACATTTTAGGATAGCTTCAAAGTGGCATAGCCAAATCAAATTAAGATAGTTTTATTGAATTTGTTTAAAAGGCAAGGAATCGACATAAAATAAAACCATGGTTTGTTCCATGGCATATTTTCTGAAACTGATGTTTCTTTCTATTTTGAATAAAGAAGCATCGATAATGTGAATGTAATGACAGTTATTTGCATGATAACAGGTATATAAGTTTCTGTAACACGTGTAAAATAGAATTGTTGAAATTATATGCGATCAAGTAAGACATGCCAAGGTCTCATAAAAAGAAATATTTTCCTCAGGGCTTCACTTTTCACAATTGTTTTAAGATTTATTGGGGGCTGCTCTGTAGCATAACAGGTTAAGCCACAAGGTGCAATGCTGGCACCATGTTTGGGAGTCAGTATGAGTTCCAGCTCACTACTTCCTATCCAGATGCCTGCTAATGACAGGGCACAAATGACAATCAGACATCAAAAGGGCCCAAAATTTACTAGACTTAACAAAAACACAAAGTCTATGAAGTGTCATAAGCAAATAAATGATAAAGTTTTGTGGAAATTTAAATTAAAACAAGATGGGCAGGCAATTTGGCTAAATGAAAAGATCCAGGTAGAACTACAGTAAGAATAATGTTCATGAAGCACAAAAGACAATTAACAGCCACCTTTTGCCACAGAGTTGTTAGAAGTCTGCAAGTTGACACGTTAGATATGTAACACTTTAAATTTAAAGTACATTTTAAATTTTAGTTAAATATTAAAAAACATTAAAATGGCTTCCCTTATTAGAGCAGTTTGAAGGTAGAAAAAATTCAAACAGGGAAACATTAAGTTCATTTAATCCTAAATAAGATAAAAAAGAGACATATCTGACATATCTTAGTAAAAATCCTAAAAAACAAAATTAAAATCTTTAAAATGGTAAGAGAAAAACAGCTGGTTAAATGCTATTTGATGGTTCTAATAGCTCATATCGGTCATATAATTCATTTCATTCTTAGGAATATACCCAAAAGGAAATGAAGTCAACTTATTAAAGTTATTTAAACTCCATGTTTACATCAGTTCAATTTACAATACCTAAGATATAGATTCTAAGATATAGAATCACCTAAGATGTCTATTAACTAAGACCTAGATAATGACAACACAAGATGTATGCACGACAGAATAATACCTAGCCATGAAAAAGGAAGGAACTCTTTCATCTAAACAGAGTAGGTGGAAGTTGAACTCATACTTAGTGAAATAGGTCAAACCTATAAAGATAAACATCAGAAGTTTTCTCTGGGGCCAGGTGCAATGGCTCAATTCTCTAATCCTCTCCTTTCAAGTGCCAGCATGTACACTGGTTAGTGTCTTAGCTGTTTCACTTCCCATTCATGATAGATATAAAAGTTTAAATAACTTCAAATAAACCTAAGTGAGGATATGAAAGTCCTCCATGATGAAAAGTAAAAACATTAAAGAAAGAAACACAAAAAGATAGGAAGAGTTTGTCATATTTATGGATTTGGAAGAAATAATATCATTATAATGCCCATACTACTAAAAGCTATTTATAGATTCAATGTGATCATAATCCAAATCTGATAACATTCGTCTCAGACCAGGAATAAAATGATACTAAAATCCATATGGAAACACAGAGACATCATTATAGTAGGCTACAGGACACACTACAGGACGGTGTTAATCAAAACAGCATAGTACTGGTGCAAAAATACACATGTAGATTAATAGAACAGAAAATATACTGCAGAAGTTAATTCATTCATTTACAACCAAGTAACCTTTGACAAATGAGCTAAAGTCAGTCCCTGCAAAGATGATAACAATCAACAAATGATGTTGAAGAAATGGCATCTCCATGTACAGAAGTATGATACAAGAATCCTGCCTCACACTGTACACTGGCATAATCTCAGAGTTCCTGAGAAAGACCCCTAGCTGTACAGGCAATTAAAGCAAAACTGGGAACCTGAGATCATATCAAGCTAAGACATTTCTGGACTGTAAAAGAAACCATCAACGGAGTATAAAGGCAATGGACAGAAAGGGATGAAGTATTTTCAAAATAATCAATTGATAAAGCATTAATATTCAGATAAAATAAATAGCCCAAGAAACTCTACAACAAAACAATTCAGTTATAAAATGAACAAGCGACACGAAGAGGCAATTTTCAAAGGATTAAATACAAGTGATCAATGTACACATGAAAATCCTTAGGATTACTAAGCATAATGAAATGCAAACAAAAGCTACAATGAGGTTTCACAACACTCCATTTAGAATGGCTATCAGAAAATAAAAAGTGCTAGAGAGGATGTGCGGAAAATAGTTCCCTAATCCACTGTTGTTGGGAATGTAGGTAGTGCAACCATTACTGAATATGAAATTACTCATAAATCTGATAATAGATCTAATGTATTACCCATGTATCTCACTTCTCAGAATACACTTAAATAAAATTAACATATCACAAAGTTATCTATTCTGCTACATTTATCGCAGCCCATTCACAATAGTGAAAATATGGAATCAATCCAGATGGCCATCAACTTGATGACTGTATAAAGAAAATGTGATATATGTATATATATATATACACACACACATACATACACACAGTATGGAATACTGCTCAGCCAAAAAAAAAATGAGGTTCTGTCTTTTGCAACAAAAATTGGGCACAACTGGAAATCATTATGATTAGTGAAATAAGCCAACCTCAGAAAGACAAAAGTCATTTGCTTCCCTTGATCTGTAATAAAACACATTATAGAAGAAAAAAAAGCAACACTGCAGGGGAGTAGGGTAAGGACACATTAAAATGGATGCAGAAGGATTAGTGGAGGAGAAGCAGAGAGGATGCAATCCCCCAAAAAGGAGTGGGTCAGCTGATGGCAGGGGAACACTTGAAGATGTGTGAACACAGGGAAGCAACAGAGACAGTGAAGCAGTGCTGCAGCAAACAGAAATCACAGCAGCAATCAGAGCTCCAATAATGGTCAGTTATGAAGGGGATGCAAGGAAAGCAGGATGTATCAACTCAGAATTGCAGGTCCTACTCAATTTTTTGATGTGACCACAAGCAAAAGCAGAGTGGTGGAACCCTTTCAGACAAGTATGGGAACATGATGGATTGCATGGCCTAGACCCTCCATCAATGCCACAGTATGGGCCATTTTAAGTTTTTTGCAAAAGTCCCTGGGGAACAAAAGTGAACTGTGCATGTATTGAGCCAGGGAGAACTAATTATGGCTCAATGCATTGCACTGGTCCCACCAAGAAAAAAACAGATTGGCATCCCATGGGTTCCATCCAAAAAAGGTCCAAGTTGCCTTCAGACCTAATTGCTATTGGCAAGAAGAAAGAAAAAAATCTGTCCTACGGGTGCCACTGACAGCACTGTACATGGAGTTTAAAGATGGGAGTCCATCTTTGATCTGGAAGTAGATATTCATGCTGCATTGTATCCTCACATTTGGATTGGACAGTTTTCATTACAAAGTTACAAACATCACCTGAAATGAAAACTCACAAAATCAACAACCAGAAGAAAAATTATTAAAAAAAAAATCATTGTAAATCTCCTTAAAAACAAAGAGAAGTACACAAAATTTCAAGGAATTTAAGGAATGTGCTACATAGGAAATAGCAACATTGAAAAAAAATCAAACTAAATTACCAAAATAAAGAATACAGAAAATTGAAAATACAAAGGATAGTTTCAATAATAGAATGAGTAAGGCAGAAGAAAGAATTGCAGAACTGGAAGACTCAACACATGAAAATTCTGAAACAGAGATCTGAAAGAGAAACTGAGTTAAGTTAAAAATTTATTGAAGAATTGATACCATCAAAAGGCCAAACATAAGGTTTATGGGTGCTCCTGAAGGCACAGAGGGCAGAGGTGAGTTGAAAGATGTATTTAATGAAATAGTAAATGAGAATTTCCCTCACATAGAGAAATAAATGTGAAGCCAAAGAAGGGCAAAGAACACCAAATAGATTCTACTGGAAGTAATAGTACACACCATAATCATGCTGTTTGGTTGAACACAAAGAAAAGATAAATAAGCACTCAAGAAACATCAGATAACTTATAGAGGAATACTAATCAGACTC